GTTTAGCTGATTGCTGCTATTGTTCTTATAGGAAAAACCTTCAGTAAGAGAAGCTTACTTGGAATAATCCATAATTCTGGTTTCATCTGCCCTTTATCTACGAGGACAATTTTCTTTAGTCTGCTGCAGCTGATACATATGCCTTGACCAGATTCTATCTCTCTGAACCAACTGCCTAAACTTGACTTTCCCCACCAAATCAGGCCTAATCAGATGCCACTGGCTACAGAGGAAGACATAAACCTATTCTTTATCTCATTTCACCAATCTACCCCAGATTCCCGTCTTTTGCTGGATATCTGACTCATAATTGCTATAAAGGAAACCATACCAAATATCTCAAACATGACTCAGAGCATACTCCCATCTGATGGTTTTCTTGATGTGAAGGTATTGCAGTACCTCCAAGTATAGATAGGACTTTATAAGCATTCCCTGCTCTCCTTGTTTATGTGTTAGCATACTATCAGTGGCTGACATGCTAGTCCCAGGAAAACTATGATAATGATATGGCACAGATTTCTTACAGCAACTCTGTATGGCAGAAGTTTATTCTTTAGACACTTACAGAAAGGGAGGGGAGGGGAGGGGAGGGGAGGCAAACCTGAGTATGGGCATCATTCGGCTTCATAAGCACATCTGATACCCTGAAGAACTGTGTGAAAGCAGTTCAAGATTTTAATATGTTTTGGTAGCTCTTCTGTGCCTGATGAAGCTCCAGCTCTAACCTGTGGCACTGGAGCTGCCCAATTTCTTGGCATTCATGAAAGTTGCCATTCAGGGATTGCTATCACAAGGCTGCTAGTTAATAATTATCACAGCAGATATTCCTCTGCATTTTTACTTTCCGTAAAAAGTTAAGCCATTATGTTTTTCACTCAAAGAAATGGCTATATAAATGAAGGGGAAAGACACAGGAGAAAGGTTTGTAAGGAAGGGGGGGAAAGCCTGTTGAAACCTCTGGCAACAACCTGCTCACAACTTACTTGAGGTTCTTTGCTATTTATGATTCATAGATTTTCCTCTTTCATTATTTTTGAATCAACAAAAGTCAGCCCCACCCTCTTCTACAACAATCCTATTTTTCAAGAAGTACTGTATTGCATTACTTGTGATGTCACGATCTGATCAAACTTATTACTGTTGCTTCAAATACCCTTATCCTTTGTTCCCCTTTTTTCCACTGTCCACATTCTTCCGTAAGTAATTCTTCTAGACAATGCTTGGATATGCTGAGCTGAAAGACGGTGTTACTGGCTTGGCTAAATTATCCATCGCTGCATTTGGAGAGTCTGATCTCCAAAATGCACAGAACCCAGTTGTGTTTTTTGGTATTGTTTTCTGACATATACTTTCACACCCAGACACCTCTTCTCCATCATCCTCTGGATTAAGAGAAACCTTGCCGCAGGTCTGTATTTAATAACTTTGTAAGAATGCTGTACATAATAAACCATTTATGCTACTGACATCAGTGTGGAGTCTGAATGAGTAATCAAAGTTCAACAGATAGCATTCCTGTTACATCATTTCTGTATGCTTAAAATCAAGCAACATGTTGGTTAATTGGCATCTGTTTGCACTGTCAGCGATCAGGCCATTTTTTTCTCCTGTCCTTCAAGCAAGTTGTCATGCTCTTCTTCAAAATTGTTATTTGGTAGCTGAGAAGACTTGCCACTTTGCAGAGTTGTAAGAGAAGCCAGAGGCATTGAATGTCAGCTCAAAAAATAATAAACATAATTTATTTATGTTTATTTCAATAAACATCATTTATTCCAAACTCCAAGCAATTTTACTTCAACTAAATAAGGGATAGATCTCAGGGCTAGAATATATGGTTTCTATGAAGTTTTTGATCCCAGGCATCTCTAAATAGGGAAATGGGAAGCTCCTGTTTGGAATGCCGTGTTAATGATGCAGAACTAAGTAGACAATAGGCCTTTCCCCAGTGCTGAGTTAAAGTGCTATCCTCTCATCCTTGAGATAATAGAAACCTATACTGGAATAAAATTTACCATCCCCATTGCCAGTCCTTACCGTGCCTCTGTTTCAAGTCATTGCAGTCAAGGGATTCCCTCCAAGGTAATGGGTGACAAAGGCTAACAGACTTTACACAATTTGGGACTGTCATTGGATGGTCCTGGAAGGAAGGAGAAAATTCTACTTTTGCTCTGGTACAGCTAAGGATGAATTAAGGTTGTGTCACTCATGGATTATGGATGAGATGAAGGCATCATGGGGACATGACATAAAATGAAGTTGCCAGGGCATATACTCATGTGTGTTGTGATTAGGTGCAAGTAAGGAAAGGCCCAATGATTTGTTGCCATTTGTCTTCTTACACTTCGTAGTATTGCATTGTTTCCTGCATATTCCATAGTAGTGATGAATTTGCATTTCAGTTGCTGATAATCAGATGAGGCTAATCCTGGAGAGATCCAGATCTGAGTCCCTGCTTTGCCATGAAATTCACAGGGTAACTGAGTTAGCTGCTATCTCCCAGCCTAACCTATCTCACAAGGTTGCTGTGATAATAAAACTTGCAGGAAAGTCTATATATGCCTCCCGGAAAGATAAAATATAAATGCAACACGTATATAAAAGAATAGCTAGTACTAAATTAGATAACCCCAAAGTGTGTGTTGCCTTCCTCTGGTCTGTGGATTTATGTAGCAGTACATGAGGGTCTGGTTTGTACTGTGATCTCTGCCAGCAAGGAGTGAAAATTCTAATACTTTCCACTGATCCCTTTATTTAAAAGCATCCATCCTTCTACTATGTGCTTGCAGTTAAGTAAATCAAAGCAAAAACAAGCAGGACCACACATTAAGTGCATATTGTTCTTTTTGCCCTAAGAGACAACCTGAATATATGTTGGTTTTAAAAGACTGTTGACCTTTCATTTGGTTTCCTTTCCTTTTTTTCTGGATACAAGAGAGTGACGGAATCATAAGCAGGGTGTACCTCCACCAATCCGTAAAAACCATCCACATGTAACTAAGTTCATGCATAGGTCCACACACCTGTTGCTTGTAAAATATTATTATGACTCTACATGTTTTAGGTGCTTCCCAAGTTCCATTTCAAGCTCACCTCTGATATGATTCCAGTGAAAGGAGTTTGGTCTGGGAGGAGCTTTGGCTCAAAGTCCATCACATTCATGGAATAATCTTGAACAAATCATTTTATGGGAAATGGCAGTTTCCTTCTTAGGGTGAATGAAGCTTCAAGTTCCTCTGTTACTAGTCTGAGTATCTCCTATTCTCCCCCCTCCCTTTTTTTTTTTGTTGAGAATATTAAATAAAGTCAGATCTTTTTATGTCACCATATTTATCTCTGAGAATTGCAGGGGCCACCTTTATGAAAATTAATATCTCACACTTGTTACAGCTATAGGAAAAATGAAAATGTATCACATATCCCACACTACTATACATCTAGAGCCTGCCTGCCTGCCTGCCTGCCTGCCTGCCTGCCTGCCTGCCTGC